AAAGAGTTGACTCATGATTCTTCAAGAGCTTTCCTAGGTCCTCGGCTTTCTTAGCACTATTGATATTTGGGGTCAGATAATACTTCGTTGTGGGGCTGTCTTGTGTGTTGTAGGGTGTTCAACAGTACCCCTGGTTCTATGTACTATATGTCAGAGGTACCCCACCCCCAGCTGTGGCAACCAAAAATGTCTATAGACATTGACAAACACCCCCTGGGGGCAAAATCATCCTAGCTGAGAATCACTGAGTTAGAAGGCAGATTTGGGTTCAGTTTAAGAATGAACATTCTACAGTGACTGTTTTAATGAAACAAACTCCTAAAATGGAATCATTTGAGGTAGACCCTGTGGGATCTACTTTTTCATTGCATAGGCATCTAGATCAAACAACTTCTAAGGGGCTTTCCCCTCACTCCACACTGATGAGCTAATTTGAGGAGAGAATTTCTTTATTTTCAACATTTGCCAGAGGGATTTTAAACATAAAATTATATCCTTGGCAGTCTTTTTGGCTCATAAACATACTTTGGGGCATATTCATAATATAAAATATTAACTGCTACTTAAACACCTGTAGTCATTCAAATTGTTTTCAGGATGTCTCCTTTATGATCTAGTTGATATTAAGAGACAGTACTATGCCTTTCTTATGGACTATGTATTATGAGATGATTTTTAAAATGTCTCTTTAATCTTGGAGAATGTTATTTGACTAGTAATATATGTACATCAATATTACAATAAAGTAGGTCATAAAATTCTCTTACATTTGTTAAAGCAAAGGTTTAAAGTTAAGTCCCTGTTACAGGAAAGGCATTTTCATTTAATTTAGTTTTGTGGCCTGACTTCTACTTGGGCTAGGTCATTAGAGATTGAATCCAGGGAGTTTTTGTAACCAAGAGGGATCGAGGAGTGTCACCGAAACTTGACACTCCAGACTCTTATTTGGAAAAAGAAGTCTGAAGCCCATTGTTAGTCACATCCTTTCTGTTGCTGCCCTCACCCAGCAGCAGCCCTTGGCTCTTTCTGGCATGGTTAGAGATACTCTGAAGTTGTCTGTGCTGGCAGGATCCAGTAGTACGATTAGTTGCTATCTTAGGTGATTGCCTTTGCAAGGGCAGAGAAGTAGAAATCAGGAATGAGAGAGAAAGGGGAAAAGGAAGATATTTATGAATCTGTGTGCTAGAGTATTTGGGGTATATTCAGGAGGGATGAAAGAACCAAACAGCTAAATGTAGCCTCTTAAAGATAACACTGAAACATTTTGCTTAGAAATAGGTTAGATTGAAATATTTTATACCAAGAGAATTTGATTTTAAAAATTATCAGTACAGGAAGTCCATTATCAAACTAGACAGCTACAGTTTCACACATACAATACTTATTAGAATTGTTTATCTTTTTATTAATGTTTCAAAATATTACAAATTATGGAAGCTCCTTTCATTAATCTGGATTATAAGCTAATTTTGATAGTCTTATGGTTAATTTAGAGAATTCTTTTTTACTTTTAAGAATATTAGAACAAAGTAAATTTTAGGGATAGATTCACTGAAGGAACTTTGGAATTTTATATTTAGGAACATGAAATGAGAAAGGTTTTGCAATTAAATGATAGTACCCTATAGATACTCTGTAAATTTTCATTTCTAGTTGGAGTTAATTCCACTTACTAGGGAGAAGTATCAAATGGTATGTATGTATGTGGCAGAATAGTTTAGATATCCAGGTCTCTGTTTCTGTTGGACCTTGAACCAATTATGGAGAGAATAAACAATAAAATTCCAGTATTTTAAATAGCACATTGTAATAGTAAAGACTTATGATGACCAAGGGAGTCAGCCAGAAACTAGTGCTAGCTGAATAAATTAGCAGTCAAATAGAAATGTATGTTGTTTTAATAATTGCCCAAGAAGTCAGATATTGTGTTAATAAGACAGTAAACAGTAAAGGTAGGGAGAGTTCCATGAGACTGTGTTCTTGTTTTGTTTTGTTTTAATATATTCTTACTGATTTCAGAGAGGGAGAGATAGAATGATGAGAGAGAATCATCGATTGGCTGTTTCCTGTACGACCCCTTCTGGGGATGGAGCCCGAAACCCAGGCATGTGCCCAGACCAGGAATCAAACTGTACCTCCTGGTTTATAGGTCGATGCTTTACCACTGAGGAACTGGCTGGGCGAGACTGTGTTTTGTGCACCATGATACCCCCAGTGCTTAGATCAGTGCCCGGCACAGACAGGCATAGATGTAGACTGTACTTTGGAGACAGGGCCAATCCATAAAAGGTATTTTTGGGGGCAGGAAAGGGCCTTGCAAACAGAAATGTGGGCCTAGAATTTGGAAGATAAGTCAGAGCTAAGGATATCTTGAGGATCTTTGTCTGAAACTCACAGAAGAATGCTCTTTTGGATGAGAATGGACTGAAAATTCCCTAAGTTAGAGCATTTTCCAAGTAGCTGAACTCCAGGACTTGGGAGCGTGATTGGCTGGTTTAATGTTCACGGTAACGCATAGACAGAAGGGCCAACATAAGCTGACAGATAGATGACACATTTATGGTGCCATTGCTTTCTCTTGCCATTGGATTGACATCTAGGTTTTAGAAAAACCTTAGAGTGTGAACGTTTGTGCTGTGTAGATTGTAGTTTCTACACTGTCTTTTCTGATATAGTAAACTTAACTCCTGAGTGTCTTCAGTGGTATCAACTCTGCACCATCACTTCACCAGACATCTATCTTCAGGGCAGCTTCCCTTTCCGGGATCATCACTGGGGTTAAAATACATCATTTTAGTTTAGTCAACCTTGTCCTCAGCGTAAAAAATCCCTTTTCTGCTTTAGTTAAAGTATTTACCATCATTTACAGAAAGGATAGCACACTATCACTAGATGTAACAACTTGCTTTTCTCAAACCACAACAGTTAGGTCTTTAAATATTGTTTTGTGTGTGTTTTACTTTGTATAAGTGAAATAATAGTCATTTTTCCTCCCACTCAGCATTATATTCTTGAGATCATTTATATTATAGATTATATAGTATTCCATGTGTGAATATAAAGTACTACAGTCTATGTTTTCTGGTAATGATGGACATTTTTTGTTATTACAAAGAGTGCTGATGTAAAGATACACACACACACACACACACATATCCTTGTGCAAATATATGAGAGTTTCTCTAGAGCAGAGGTTCTCAAACTTGACTGCATCAGAATCAACTGAAGGGCTATTTAAACAGATTGCTGGGCTCATTGTGTCTAATCCTGGGAGTTTGGTGGGGGTCCCCAAAATTTGCATTGCTTTTTTGTTTGTTTGTGTGTTTTGTTAATCCTCACCAGAGGACATTCTGCCATTGATTTTTAGAGAGATTGGTAGGGATGGGGGAGGCAGGGAGAGAAACATTCATGTGAGACACATTGATTGGTTGCCTCCCGAATATGCCCCCATAAGGGCTTAGGGATTCAACCTTCAACCCAGGTACATTCCCTTGACTGGGAATCGAACCCAAGACCCTTCAAAGTGCACATGCTGATGATCTAACCACTTAGCAACACTGGCCAGGGCCCAAGAGGTTGCATTTCTAAGAAGTTCTCAGGTGCTAGTGATCTATTGATTCAAGAACTAACTGCTTCAGAGTTCAGATCTAGCTGTGGAATTGCTGGAGTGAAAAAGAGTGCACAAATTTTTAACTTTAGTAGGTAATGCTAGATTGTTTTCCTACCAGCAGTGTGAAAGAGAAGCATCAGACCTGAATTTTTGCCAGACTGGTAGGTGTTAATTGTGTCTTATTACATGGCCAAAAAAGGGAACTCTGGCCGAAACCAGTTTGGCTCAGTGGATAGAGCATTGGCCTGCGGACTGAAGGGTCCCAGGTTTGATTCCGGTCAAGGGTATGTACCTTGGTTGAGGGCATATCCCCAGTAGGGAGTGTGCAAGAGGCAGCTGATCGATGTTTCTCTCTCATCAATGTTTCTAACTCTCTATCTCTCTTCCTTCCTCTGTGTAAAAAATCAATAAAATATATTTTTTTTTAAAAAAGGGAACTCTGTGTGCCTTTTCTTTTTTTATGTTAAAACTTTCAGAATATGTGGAACTTCACCTTTTAAAATGAAGAATGTTATCCAGGACACACACACCCACAATATTCCACAGAAAAGCTGTATGCGCTAATCAGATTCAATTTCAGTTGCCTCAGAAGAATTTTAGATAATTATTGCAATGTTGAATATTTTTATTCTTCCATTTGGCCTTTTAAAAAAATCCAAGGAGAAATTTCACTTCAGTGAAAACTTGTTTACAACAAAGATATTCCTGCCCTAGCTGGTTTAGCTCAGTGTTTAGAGCATTGGCCTACAGACCAAAGAGTCCCGGGTTTGTTTCCGGTCAAGGGCATGTACCTTGGTTGCAGGCTCTTCCTGGGCCTGGGCCCTGGTCAGGGCTCATGCAGGAGGCAACCAATTGATGTGTTTCTCTCACATTGATGTTTCTCTCTGTATTTCCCTCTCCCACTCTCCCTAAAAATATAAATAAATAAATTTAAAAAATCGATGGGAAAAAAATCCTCAGGGAGAGAGAGAGAGAAACATTGATTGGTTGCTCCCACACACTCCCCTCAGGATAGAGTCTGCAACTGAGGTACGTGCCCTTGACTGGAATTGAACCTGGGACCCTTTAGTGGCCCGGTCGACACTCTATCCACTAAGCCAAACTGGCTAGGGGTCAGAGACACTTCTTGAAAGCCAGATTCAAGTTGACTTTTAACAGGTTCACATTCTAGAGAAGCTGCTGCAGAGCTGACCCCTGGTTTAGAAATGTTGTTTTCCAAGTTACATTTGAGCGAATGTGTGTCCTGGTCCTGCTTCTGTCAGGTGGCAGCGAAGCTCCCCCAGTGGTGTGGACCCCCAAGAGCCTGTGTACCACGACCAGGTGAGGTGTTCAGTGGGCTCTGGCGTCTGCTGTTCGAATGCCTGAGCTCTAATGGGTGGCTGTCTTTCAGCTTTCATGACGCAGGTGATCATATTGCTGCACATGTTCTGGGGCATCATATTCTTTGATGGCTGTGAGAAGAAAAACTGGTACCCGCTTCTTGCAGTTATTCTGACCCACCTGCTGGTGTCAGCCCTGGTGAGTATGGCCATTGTGCTCAAACTGTTTTTTGGAGCTCAAGTCCACCTGTGTACAGTGGTAGATTCCACCTTAAATGAAGTACATGCTCATGGGAAAATGAGGACATTCAGAAATGTTACTTGAAAGAATGGATGAATGATAGATAAATCATCTAAGTCTTACTACAGAAAGACAACTATTAATTTGTTGGTAGATCTCATTAAAGATGTTTCCCTAGTGTCTTTCTTTTTAATGGGTACAGTCAAACCTGAAATAGTCTTGAATTATGCTTTGTCGTGTAACACATCTTAAACAATCTCCATGTTCTTATATTTTTAATATATAAATTTTAATGGCTTTATATCATCACAGAAAAACTGTATTATAGAATGCTTACCTGACTGATCCCTTCTGTTTCTACTTTTGGTTATTATAACGCTGTCTTGGACTTCTTTGTACATGAAACTTTTAAAATATATTGTTCCAAGGAATGGAATTATAAGGTTAAATAGTATGAATATTTTTAAAGCCCTTGATGCAAATTGCTAAAATACTGCCCACGGGGTTGTATCATTTTTACTCTAACTGATCAATAACAAGAATGACCATTTCAATCCCTTCTCTCTGACATTTTAATAATGCCAATTTTCAAGAGAAATGTTTAAAAAGAAAACTTGACTAGATACATTTTAAAATAATTTTGAATGCTTTGGGCCTGACTTTTATTATAGTTTGTCAGATATTTACATCAGAATCATTTCCATCACTGCCTTGTCCAGACCCTTATTATTTCTCATCTAAAGGAGGTAAAAGCTTTCTTCTGATGGTGCCCTGTCTTATGTTTCTCTCCTCCCCACCCATTTAGAATTTGTATCAGGTTTTCTTATATTGGCCGCCTCGTCCTGACCCAGTCTTACTGCCTCTCCTACCAGTGGTACAGGATACTAACGTTATCCATAATATGATGGCAACTGTGTAAAGTTAAATCTTCATCAGAGAAAAAAAAAAGATCAGAAAGAGAGTGGATGAAAATATTAAATACATTTATCTCTGGGTGGATTCTTTTAACTCCTTATAGTTTTTGCCATGTTCTAAGTTTTTTACAACATACGTTTTATAACCAGAAAGGAAGTTACATGAAAAAGCAAATGTCCTTATGAATCCAATGGACCGTTCATTTGACAAATAATTATTAAGTGCCTTCTATGTTCCAGGTACTGTTCTAGGTGAACAAAACAGTTTAGTGACCAAAACAAAGATCACTGCCTTTATAAGCTAGTAAGGAGGAAGGGGCAATAAGCAATAGACATATGAGAAATTATATAGTATCTAGAAATCGGTAGGTACTGTGAAAGAGGAGAAGTGGAGCAGGTTAAAAGGGATCCAGAGTGTGGGAGGTGGAGGGAAGGCGAATTTTTGAATTAGTAGTCAGCACAGGCTTCAGTGTGAAGGTGACATTTGAGCGAAGACTTGAAGTAGAGGTGGTTCTGCAGCTGGTCTGGAGAAAGCATCCTGGACCGAACAGCTGGGGCAGGAGGTTGAGCATGTCTTCATGTAGTTATTGGCCATTTGGATAATCCTTTGTGAAGTGCCTGTTCCGGTCTTTTGCCCATCATTCTATTGGGTTGTCTGTCTGTTTTTTTTTGGATTTTTTTTTGGGGGGGGGGGGTTCTTTATATATAGAATGTCCCAAAACTGTATACACACATTGAATTTGTATCAGGTTTTCTTACATTGGCCTCCTTGTCCTCTGAGCCAGTCTTACTGCCTCTCCTACCTAACACCTCCCAGTGGTACAGGATGCTAACGTTACCCTCAACACGGTGGCATCTGTGTACAGTCAAATCTTCGCTTGGTAAAATATATTTAATTTTCAGAATTGAGCTATCAGCTGTTAAAGAGTGTATACATTTGGGGGGGGGTATCCTGTACTCTTTAAAAGAGGGCTTTGTCAGGTGTATGCATTGCAAATAACTTCTTCTACAGTGTAGTTTGTCTTTATAGTCTTCTGATGTTGTCTTTTTATGAACAAAAGTTATTTAATGTAGTCAATTTTTTCTTTACGTTTTGCACTTAAAATTCAGTGGATTTGAGGTATAGAATTATTCTGAAGAAGAATCCAGAAAATGTTCAATACCTGCCATGCCCACAGATGCCTCTTGAGAAAAGCATTCTTTTTACATAGGTGCTACCTGCAAAATCATCTATTTCCCTGGCCAGAGCTTAGAGGCAGTGTTGACACCTTAGCCAGGGACATATGCAGGCCGGGTGAGTAAGGAAAGTGAGGAGCCTTGGAGGCACACCGCTAGCCTCTGATTCGCAGAGGTGTACGGTGACAAACTGGCCCAATCAGATCCTCCCTTTTGTTAAGCGCAAATGCTAGGCTAGATGCAAACCTATCTCCCCACCTGACCCTGGCCCAGCAGAGAATCCCTCCTCCTGTAAAGGTCAGTTCCTCCATTTGGGTTCTAGACCGAATTCTTTCCTACTGAAGACTTTGCTCCTTTGACTGTCCTCTGTCCTCCTTCACCAGCCTTTCCATCTCTGTGTCAGCTCACAGACATATCTTCATAAAACTTCATTATTGCCTTCTCCCCTCCCAGCACCACCCTCTTTTCCCCTGTCTCCCATCACCGCAGAACTTCTCAGAGTGATCCCCCAGATTGTCTTCACTTCTTCACCTCTCATACTTCTAGCCCAATCTAGTTTCTGCTCAACCACCCCTTTAAAATTGCACTTGTCAAGGTCAAAAAGGACCTTCGTTTCTACAAATCTAATGGGCAATGTTCTTTTTTCATCTCAGCAACCTTTAAAAAGAGTTGACCACTTTTCTGAGACATTTTTCTATTCTGACTTCTGCATCACACTGTCCTGGTTTTCCTCTGACCACACTGCTGGCTCTTCTCAGAGTCCTTGCTGGCTCTTTTTTAATAAGTCAGGCCAGTGGAGTGGTGTTGACACTTCCGATGTGTTCCTGTGATACCGAACAGCACAAACAATTCATACATGTTCTCAGGGCTTGATCTTGACTTTTCTTTTCCCTTCTCTCTGCAAAAGCTCCCTGGGTAACTTCATTCGTAGCCATGGTTTTAAATACCATCTATGGACTGTGCCTCTATATTCCTGTTTCTAACCCAGGCCTCCCCTCTCCCATACTCATATATCTAACTGCTTACATGACATCTGCCTTTTGAAATCTGACAGGCATGTCACTCATAACATGTCCTCTTTGGACTAGATTCTCACCCACCACTCCAAGCTTGGTCTTCCTCAAGTCTTTGTTATCACATTAAATAGCTCCACCATTTATCTAAACGTGGCCTCTCACTGTCCCTCACATTCCATCCATCAGCAAGTCAGTTCTTTCATCCACTCTCCATCTCTACCTCCACCTAGTCTAACTCATCATCCTGTACTCTCCCGTCCAGTACAAAATCTTCCTCACTAGTCTCACTGCTTTCACCATTGCCTCCTTTAATCTTTCTCTGCAGTTTAAAAATCTAACTCAAGTCATTCAGCTCCCCTACCGGAAACACTGTGACCCTCCATTGCACTGAGTGTAAAATCCACGCTCCTTACCAACATGCTCTGTAGTTGGCTGCCCTCCTCTCCGACCTCCTCTCATGTGCTGCCCCTCCATCGCTACACGTGATTAATACTGACTCTTCTCAGGGTCTCAGCTCTCCGAGCTCCTTTTATTCCCTCCCTTAGTCTCCACAAGGCTGGCTCACTCCTCCTCCTGTGTGTGTCTCAGTTTAAATGCACTTCCTCGGGGCCTTCCTTGACCACCCTAATGGATCACCTCATTTTTACCTGTCCTATCACCATCACAATTATAACTGTTCTGATCTGGTATTCATCACAGTTTGTAATTATGCAATTAATTTAGTTGTTTCTTCATTCATTACCTATCTCCCTTACAGTGTATGAACTCTGTCATGATAGAAACTAGGGTCTTCACTATTGAGTAGCCCATTACCTCTCAGCACCCCGTCAGTGTTTTCCAAATCAACTTTTGGGACCGACAGCAGTTGTGCAGGTGAAAAAGAGATGCTGCTGTTCCCTCATGTTCCCTCAAATACTAAGGACTCATACTGAAGTAATTTGGACTTGTCTGGCTTTCTTCCACATTCTAAGAACTAACTGGTTCTTGCACAGAAAGGATTACAAATGGGGTCCAGTTATATAACATGTATCGTCTGGTGGGTATCCCAGTAGGTTCTGGCTTCTCATTACCTCCTAGGGTTGCCATTCGAATACAGCACAGCCCAGATCTATAGGCTAGTGTCTGCTGCCAAGGTTAGTCCGTGTGTTTTTGTGGGTTCTGGTGCTCCCCAGGACAGGTCATACATCGCATGTTTGGTGTTTAATAGCATCCCAGCTATTACAAATATTTCCTATTTCCCTTTGTCTTTGGTTATTCACATGTTTAATATGCTAGCCATTATTACCCATGCTGGTTTATTTTTCCTTTGCAGACCTTCCTTAATCCGCAGTATGAAGTAAGTCTGGTGTCAGCATATATGATCACGGTGCTCACTGGCATCCGGGCATTCTTCGTTGCTGGAGGCAGCCGCCGAAGCCTGAAACGATACCTACTCTGCCAAGACAAGAACTTCCTCCTCTACAGCCAGCGCTCCAGATAACCTCCCAGAGCCCGCACTCTCAACAGTAAGCTGCGTCTTTAGAGGAAGCATAACTGTGCCTTTTTCTAAAAATTCCTCTTCCTGGTGGAATTGACTGAAAAACAAAACTGTCCAGCTGTGATATGGCTTTCATGCAGCAGCTCATCCAGCCTGCACATGAGAGTGGCCTGGTGGGGAAACAAAGATAACACTGGTTTCTGGGCTTCGTGCTCCCGGTGTAATTGGTCTGGGCATTTGGTGATTTTCAAAAGCTTCCTCGATGACTCTGATGTGCAGCCAAGTTGAGAACTATCAGTGTCCAAATAGGAACTTGCTGAGACCACCACGAGTGAATAAGAACCCAGATGTTTAGCTGTCTCCTGACTCACCTAGTGCTGAATGGCACGTCCTAGCCAGCCTTTGTCCTTTCCAGTTCTGAAGTCACAAAAGGCCATGGACTGTTTCCTGTACTTCACTAGTACCCTGTCTTATGAGAACATGGCAGGCTGTGCTTCTAAATGCAATAATACATAGCACTGGAGCACTGTGATAATTTAGCCAAAGTGAGCTATTGACTAACAAGCTGTATTAGTCTGTAGTTTTTCCATTCTAGATTTTGCTTTCCGAGGCATTACATTGTTTTTCAGCATAGATTCAGTTTAACTAAAAACCCAATCATTTTCTGACTTCCTGGGAAGGTATTCTGAAACCAGGAATTTTCATGCAATTCTATGAGTCTTTTCTGAGTGTAAGGCTTTTTCCGGGCCCGCAGCACAGCGGACTGCTTGTTGCTGGGCTGGTTGAGGTGAATCCCATTGTCTGCCTCTGAGCAGCGTGGCGGCTGCTGAGTGATGTCCCTGCGCCAGGTTCGCTGGAACTGGAGGAAGTGTAGAAGGAAAACAAACCAAGAGGGTGGTGTGGACATGATTTGCTCCTGTGGAACTAACCAGCACTTGCCCCGAATGGTGTAGTGGAAAATTGGAAATAAGTTTTCAACTGCCAAATTTATGCTTTTACATAATCTGTCTAATCTGTAGATCTACTAAATGTCTGTGAGTGTTGGTAGCAGATACATAACTCCATTGATAGGAATACCCAAGGTGTTTGTTCAGCTTCTAAACATCGCTTTTGATTTCCTTTTTAAAGAGAAAATGCCATGAGTTGTGCCTTTACTCACTTGAAATGGTTTCCAGTTGATGGCTTTTAGGAAGCTTATGGTGGGAAATGGAGATTTCCTACACATTAAAGTGATAACCTCAGCGAATCCCATATGTGCAGCAGACCATCCCAATGAAACAGGAGCAGCAGTGGCGGGGCTCACCAGTGATAGGACGTATGGAAGAACTGGATAAAGTGATGGGGATTTTTTTTCATGAACATGTGCAAAATGGAAATGTGGCCAGTATCTTGGGCTGCCACTCACCATCATTCTGGGAACCAGAACCTTACCGTTGAACTAGACCTTTTGCAATGAAATTCCCTCCTGTGTTTAAGTTACTAGAATTTCTCAGTCTAGGGACTCAAGAGCAGTTGTATTTCTAGCAAGGCTACAGTCTTGCCTGAAACAGCAATTGCTTAGTCCCCTAAACAATTACAGTTATTCTCCTAAAGTGTACTTCAGTCCTAAGCCAATGGTTCTGCTGGCATTTGCAATTTTCCACCTTAATACGAGATTTCCGTTAGGCTAGAAGAATCATAGGAAAAGCAAGAGATGTAGAGACCAAACAGTGAGATTTACTGTGCAGAGTTGAGGGGAACAAGATTCCCACTGAATTGAGCTTTATTCCTATTGGAACATGGTATTGTTTGATGAACACAATAAGAAAAATACATAGTTGGTTATTGCTATTGACTTAAAGTCTCTTAAATGGTTAGTCTGATAAAGTATTTGCTGGCCCGTAAAGTGTAGAAAAATCTGAGAATGTTAATATTTTTCATACTTGACCTCTGAGGATGTCCTCTGTGCATTGATAGTTTCATATTAAATAAGGAAGCTGAGATACTGTAAAATCTCACTTATAAAAACTTCTCAGGTGAGAAGAAAATTTTCTTTGATGGTGAGACTGTTGTCTTAGTTCAGGAAGTTACTTAATAGTCCTTGATTACCTGTGAATAAAGTAACTTTGTAATCCCGATTTCTTGTAGAATGTGAGCATTGTCATAGTTAGCTTCAGCACTGTTGTTGCAGATAGCCTTAGAGCCTTGCTTTGCCTAATGCCACGAAAGCCCAGAGGGAGTGTACGGTCTTCCTCTGTTACTGTATATATATTGAGATGCAATTTTTAAAAAATTGTTATCTATAATGAGCTTTTGAAACTTGATAGTATTTGGAGAGAGGGAGATGGTGTTGATGTTGAATGTTCTCCACACAGAGCTTCCTCAGTTTGGAGGGACATGTAGTGGACCTTGAAATGTGACTCGTGTTGCCACGTAAATAATAGAGATTGATTTTGTTACTCTCTATACATTTGTATTTATTTTTAATTCATTTAAATTAGTCGTAGTAACTGGAGAAGTTCTGTTACCTCGATCCTGGCCTACCTGTCTGGCAGGATAGCCTCTTTTAGTGCATCGTAATGAAAACATTGCTGAAAGGAATAAATGGTGATATCTGCAGACTGCATAGAAAATAGCTTTTGTTCTCAACGTTAGTATCTCTATTCTCAAGCACATTTACGTGTTTGCTGAGAGTGTCAGATTCATTCATAAATGCTCGGTGTTCTTATCCACAGAGTTGATAGCACTCTCAAGCACTTCTTGAGAGTTCTGGTTTTTTGTTAGCTGTGTTTTTCCTGGTCCCCACCATTCCTGACTCCAGGTAGACAGAGTACATGTCACAACAAAACAATTTTAAAGTGCTTTGCTTAGAGCACTTTGTTTATTGCAATGTTTACATTTCTCATTTTATAAAAGGCTTTTTACTTCATTCTATTAAATATTAGTGTTTAGAGAGGTGGGTATTATCTTTATGTACAATAGGCATCATTTAATATGTTATACTGTTATATATACTTGCAATATCAGACCTTGCAGTCAGTACACAATGCAGTACCCTCTTTCTAGACCTTTATTTTTCAGTGAACAATAAAAAGATTGTTTGGCACTCTTCATTTTCCATGTGTCCTCTTTTTTTTTTTTTTTTTTGAATGATGTATCCTTTGGTATCTATTATTACAGTTTTTGTCCTTTATAAAACTTGGCTGTACATTCTGTTGTTTATGACTGTCAGCTCTGAGACTTTTTTTTGAAAGATAAGTCTTTGTTATCTGGTTTAAAATCATAAGGCCTATTTCATTTCTGTGTGTCCAGAAGCAGTTTGGTGCGTAGAAGTTCCTTGAGATGTGGAGGAGAGTCCTCCAAGGTCCTGGAACCTCACCTTGAAAACTATAATTGTGAAATAGTGAATTTATAAAATACCATGTAATTGTGGCTAAAGATGGGAGTTGATTGACAAGGAGAGTGCAGTTTAGTTTCTACCCAGTGACCCTGAGCGGCCTACAGAGTCCTTTTTCCCTTCCCCTTGGTGAGGAGACAGTGCAGCTAAGAGGTCAAGCATGGCCTTTGCCATCAGAAAGGCTACACAGAGATTTTTGTGCTGAAACAGAAAACCACGTGATGCCTGTTCACTCTGGTTTGAAATGAGGCTCCACGTATATGCTGACTGTGTTATTAGATGAAATAGCCCCAGGGACCAAGGGCTCTTTGCTCCTAACTTGTAAGCCAGGGGCAGGGTGTGTGTGCATTCCTCAGGTAACAGACCAGATTTGTGTACAATTTTGTTGGCCTTTCCACACTGAAATTGTGGCTCTAGTTTAATTGCTGTTTCTGGTATTTAGTTGGGACAGGAGTTTCCCTGTGACCAGCCTCAACACATGAGAAACCTCCAAAGGAAAGAAGTGTATATTTACCTTCCCCTCCTTGAAAATGCTAAGTAGAAGGAACAGCTCAACTGGCTTATGGTCTCGTCTCAGTAAAAGAATTGGGGGGTTGACACACTGTAAGGCAAGCATGTCAAACTCAAAGGCTAACACGGGCCAAATAAACGAGGCATGAAGTCTACTAGTAAGGTGACCATAATAGACTAGGAGCCCTGAGCAGGTCCTGGCGTCAAGGTTTAGTAACGTGCAGGTGGTACTTGTTGCTTAAGTGTGGACGACTGTAAACCCTGCTGCTTCTACCAGAAGTAAAACCATATGTTTTCAGTGCTTGAGCACAGAGAGAGGGTTTACAGTTTTAACCAGGGCTTACCATGCACAGACAAAGGATGACAAAGAAAATAACAGGTGGTAGAGATCTTTGTCCTTGTGGAACATTTAATCTAACCGCCCAGATTAAAACACATAAGTATTACTTTAAGGCAGCTACAAAATGCACTACAAATTTTGAAATAATATAGAAGAGCTCCAATACATAAGATGGTATTAAAATTTAGAAGTGGATGACGGGCACCTGGGTAATGGATGTAGATCAAGAGGAAAGATGGGAACTGAGGACAACCCTGGCTGCTCCAATTGACAGGGTGGAAAGGGGAGGTGGACTTGTCACTGAGGAAAGAAGGAAAACCAGGAAAGTTTGGTGGCCTGAGAGCCAGGGGAAAGTATGTGAAATGATGCTGAATAATGAATAAGGTGAGGAGTAAGAATTGGTGGTTGCATATGAAGATATGGATTTGCTGGGTGACATTGATAAAAGCAATTTCAATGTGGGGACAAATAGCTAAATGGAGTGGATTATAGAGAGTGGGAGATAAGAAAGTAGGCACAGTATATAGAGTACAGATAACTATATAATTACTAGAGGCCTGGTGCACAAAAATTTGTGCACTCGTGGGGGGG